CACCCCCACTAACAAAGTTAAAAAAATTGTAAAAAAAAGGGGGCCCCAAAATTTATCCTTTTCTCCCAACCGTTTTAAAAGGAGAACACCAAATCCACCTCCCCAAAAGGTTTAAAAAAAAAAAGAACCAAAAAGAATGAAAACCCCCAATGCCCAAATTGGGAAAAACCCCAAAAAAATACCCCATGGTCCAGTGGGCCGCGCTTTAAAAAATTTCCCCATGGGGCAGTTTCCGCGTTTGACGTCCCATTCTTTTTTTTTTCTGGGTTTGGGGCATACTGTTTTCCCCGTTTTTTATCACTGTTCCCCATCATCCTCAGGGCCCCCCTTTTTTTTTGCCGGAAAATAGTGTGGAAAAAGGGAGTGTAAAAATATGGTAACTAAGTATGTAACAAGGTAACTAGTATGTAACTATGGTTTAAATAGTATTTAAAAAATGGTAACCCAGTAGGGGTTTTCTAATTTTAAAATATAGTGTAAAAATGGGAAAATATAGTGTAACCCAAGGTAACAAATATTTTAACTTGGTAACCAAATAGTTTTAAACCCATGGTAACTGTAGTGTAACAAAGGGAACTAGTAGTGTTAAAAATTTTTAACAAATAGGTAACTAAAGGGGAACTAGTAGTGAAAATTAAGGGTAAAATAGAAAGTAACTAAGGAAAAATTTTTTAACTAGGTAACTAGTAGTGTTAAATATGGAACAATAAATTTTAAAATATGGGGAACTGTAGTGTAACTATGGTAACTATTTTGGGAACTATGGTAACTAGTAGTGTTAACAAAAAAAAAAAGAATGTAAACTATGGAAAAAAGTAAATGTAAATATTGGGGAAATAGTATTTTAACTATGGTAACAATTTGGTTTTAACAAAGGTAACCAAGGTTTGTGTAAATATGGTAAATATTTATGTAACTAAAAAGGGCCCCGTAGTGTAAAATATTTTAAATAGGGAGTGTAACCATGGAAAATAGTAAAATTTTAAAATTGGACCTAGTAGTGTTTTCTATTTGGAAAATAATGTAACTAGGGAACTATTTGTGTAACAATGGTAAAATAGTAGTGTAACTATGGTTTTAAAATATTTGTGTAACTATGGTAACTAGTAAGTAAACTAAAAAATAACTTTTAAATGTAACTATGGTAACTAATGTGTAACAAAAATAACTATGTGAAAATAAAGGTTTAAATAGTAGTGTAAAATAAGGAAACCCAGTAGTGAAAAAAATGGTAACTTGTAGGTAACTAATGAAAAAGTAGTGGGAACAAAGGTTTTCTAAATATTTTAAAATGGTAACTATAGTTTAACATGGAAAAAATTTTTGTAAAAATGGGGAAAATAGTAGTGGGAACCCAAGGTAACTAGTAGGTAAAATAAGGAAAATAGTATTTTAACTATTTGGGAACTAGTATGTAAAAAAAGGTAACCCTTTTTGTTGGGAACCGTAGTGTAACTAAAAAATGGTAACTATATGTAACATTTTTAACTAGTAGTGTTTTCTATGGGAACCTAGTTTTAAAAATATGGGAAATAGTTTTGTAACAAAGGTAAACTAGTTGTGTAAATTATGGTAACTAGTTAAATTTTAACCCCATGGAAAAATTTGTGGTGGTACCCAGTAAGGGAACTATGGGAACAAGTAGTGTAACTATGGTAAATAAGTGTGGTAACTAGTAAATGTGGGGAACTAGAAGTGTAACCCATGGGAACTAGTAGTGGGAACAGGGAAAATTTGTAGTTTTAAAATAAGGGAACTAGTGTGGAAAACAAAGGAACCCAGTAAAATGTGGAAAAATAGTTTTAACTAAAAGGGAACAATAGTAGTGGAAAAATGGTAACCTAGTAATGTAACTATGGTAACAAAATTGTGTAACTAAAAGGAAAATAGTAGGTAACTAATGGTAACTGTTAAATTTTAACTAAGGAAAAAGAAAAGGGAAATATGGTTTAAAAAAGTATTGTCCCCATGGGAACTAGTGGGGGGAACTAGTAAATGTGGTAACTGTAGTGAAAATATGGAAAATAGTAGTGAAACATGGGAACTATTTGTGTAACAAAGGGAACCAAATGAAAAAATGGGAAAATATATTTTGGTAACTAATAGGGGTAAATATGGTTTAAATAGTAGTGAACTAAGGGAACTAGAAATGTGGTAACTATATTTTGGTAACTAGTATGAAAAATAAGGAAAAAAAGGTAGTGTAACAAAGGGAAATAGTAAGGGGAAAAATGGTAACTATTTTTGGGTTAAAAAAATATGGTAACCCATATGTAACTATGGAAAAAAGAATTTTAAACTATGGAAAATAAAGTGTCCCTTTGGGAACCAAATAGTTTAAAATATTTTAAAATAGTAATTTTTGGGGAAAATATTTTTGTAACTATGGGAACTAGGGAGGTAACTAAGGTAAATAGTATTTTGGAAAAATAGTAGGGTGGTTACTAGGAGGTAAAATTTTTTGGGAACAAAAGTGTTTAAATATGGGAACCAGTAGTGGGAACCCTTTGGGAACCCAGAAATGTAACTTGGAAAATAGTATGTGGGAAAATATATGTAACTAAGGGAACTTAGTGTAACTATGGTAACTAAATAGTAAGGAAATGGAAAATATAGGTAACCAAAGGTAACAAATAGGTAACTATGGAAAATAGAAGGTGTAAAAATATGGGAACTATAGTGAAAATAAGGTTTAAATAAAAAGGGGGGGAAAATAAAAGTTAACAAAGGGGAACTAGTATTTAAATAAGGGGCCAAAAGGGAAAATTAACTAAGGTAACTTTTATTTTAACTATGGTAAAAAGTAATTTAACTATGGAAAAAGTAGTGTAACCCATTTTGGAAAAAAAAAAGTGGGAAAATATGGTAACTAGAAATGTAACTATGGTAACTAGTATGTAACTATGGGTAACAAATAATGTAACATGGTTTCCCAGTAATTTTAAACAAAGGTAAAAAGAGTGTAACTATGGTAACAAAAATTTTAAATATGGTAAAAAGTAGTGTGGAAAAATTTGTGGGTAACCGGAAAGAACCCCTTTGGGAACCTATAAGGGAACTATGGGAACTAGTATGTAACTATGGTAACTATTAAAATGTAACATGGTAACTGAAATGTTGGGAACTATTTGTAACTTTTAAGGTAACCTAAATAGTGTAACTATGGTAACAAATAGTGGGGGTAACAAATAGTGTGGTTTAAATAGTAGTGAAAATAAAGGTAACCAAATAGTGTAACTAAAAATAACTATAGTGTAACTTGGTAACTAAAGTGTAACTATGGGAAAAAGTATTTTAACTAAGGTAACTTTTGTGTGGAAAAATAGTAGTGAACAAAGGGAACATTTGTTAAATAAGGTAACTATAAATGGGAAAAAATTTGGGAACTAGTTGTGAACCAAAGGGGAAATAGTAGTGTAACTATGGAAAAAAGTAGTGTAAAATATGGAAAATATAGTGTAAACTATGGTAACTAGTAGTGAACAAGGTAACTATAGTGTGGGAAATAGTAGTGTGGGTAACTAAAAGGTAACCCAAAGGTTTAAATTTTTAGGTAACAAGGTAACAATTATTTTAAAATGGGGGGCAGTAGTGTAACCCATGGAAAAATAAATGGGGAAAATAGTAGTGTAACTTGGTAAAAAAAGTAAATTGGGAAAATTTGGAACCCCAGGGGATGGGGGGGGGTTTTAAAATATTTTGGGGGTTTGGGGGTAACTATTTGTTTTAAAAAATGGTAACTATAGTTAAAAGGTAACTAGTAGTGTAACTATGGTAAAATATTTGTGTAACTATGGTAAATAATTTTGTGGTAACTATAGGGGTAACAAAAAAACTAGTATGTAACAAAGGGAACAAATAATGTAACCCATGGTAACAAATTGGAAAAATAAAGGTAACCCAAATTTGTGAACCAAAATTTAAAAAATTTTGTGAAACTATGGGAACTAGTTGGAAAAATGGTAACAGTTAATGGGAAAATAGTATTTAACCTTGGTTAAATAGTAGTGAAAAAATGGGAACTAGTAGGGGTGGGAACTATAGTGGGGGTTAAATATTTGTGTAAAAAGTGGGGGAAATATATGTAAAAATGGAAAATTAAATAGTGTAACTAAGGAAACTAGAAATGGGAACTATGGTAACTATAGTGTGGTAAAATAGTCTTAACAAAAAAACAAATAGTTTTAAAATAAATTTTTAAAAAGTAGGTAACTAAGGGAACCAAGTAGGAAAATATGGAACAAAATAGTGTTTAAATTGGTAACCAAAATTTGGGAACTAAAGGAAAAAAGTAATTTTGGAAACCCAAAATTTTAACTAAGGTAACTAGTAGTGTAACTAATTGGGGGAACCCAAGTGTAACAAGGGAACTATAGTGAAAATATTGGGAACTAGTGTTTAACTATGGAACTATTTGTTAACTAGGTAACCAAAGGTAACAAAGGTAACCCATTTGGTTGGAAAATAGTAGTGTAACTAAAAGGTATAGTATTGGGAACTATGGAAAAATATAAGGGAACTATGGTAAAATAGTTTGGTAAACTATGGAACCCATAAAGGGGGTAACCCATAATTAAACCCAAGGGGAACTAGTAGTGTAACTATGGTAACTAGTAGTGTAACTATGGTAACTAGTAGTGTAACTATGGTCTAGACTTAACTATGTAACTAGTAGGTGAACTATGGTAACTAGTAGTGTAACTATGGTAACTAGGTTAGTGTAACTATGGTAACTAGTAGTGTAACTATGAAACTAGTAGTGAAACTATGGTATCTAGTAGTGTAACTATGGTAACTAGTAGTGTAACTATGGTAACTAGTAGTGTAACTATGGTAACTAGTAGTGTGGCAACTAGTAGTGTAACTAGTAGTGTAACTAGTAGTGTAACTAGTAGTGTAACTATGGTAACTAGTAGTGTTACTATGGTAACTAGTAGTGTAACTATGGTAACTAGTAGTGTAACTATGGTAACTAGTAGTGTAACTATGGTAACTAGTAGTCCTCAGCCTTTAGTTGTGCCTGGAACGAATACCAAGTTAACACCTGACAAGTGCCGAGCTTAAATTCCTGTAACGGAAAATATAAATTGTTTGTTAAGTCGGTCCGTTAAAAAGAAATAAGTAAAAAATGAAATCAAATTATTTGTTCGAAACATGACAAAGAGTAACAAAGCAAATTTTCTTGGAAGACAGGAAACTTTGACTAAGACAGACGTTTTAAAAAGAGAAAGTGCACGAAAACGTCACTACAAAATAAATTCAAAATATTGATTACCTTTGAATAAAGTATGAAGCGAACGGCTCTTAAAACAGTCGACCATCTCTCAGGCATTGCTGCTACAAATAAAAACTACTAAAAATAAAAACCTACGACACAAATCCAACTAATTAATACAATTCAAAATCATCAAAGAGCTTAAATACGCAATTCTTGGCAGAATGATGTGTTGACACAAATAACTGAACTAAATTTACGCTACAAAAACGTCAAAACAGGGGTGTAGTGTACCCCTGCGTCAGAACATTGAATATTATTTATATCAAATCATGTCCTAATCCCCGAAAAATGCAATACAAACGATCATGAATACACAATGTAACATTTGAGGGCTGACACACCCACTTTCAGAGGAAGTACACACAAACGGAAGGAATGTAAAAACGTAAGAGTTATATTCGGGGAGATACTGAAGAACAATCTGGTGGAGTGTGTGAATTTTCTGAAGAGACAATTTTACTTTTAGTATGTACGTTATAAGGACAAAAAACAGTATCGTCGCAGCATGCCAAGGAAATGACTATCAATATTGTTATACAGTGCTGTTGACAAGACATCACTAAGTTCTACTGACATAGGTGGGATACCAGATAGGGTATATAGGGAGCACATAACTACATATAATAGCATATAATAGCATATAATAGCATATAATAGCATATAACTACATATAATAGCAAATAATAAGCATTTGTCAGTCTTGAGACTTGTTGATGTTTCCAAGTTGGTAAAGTGTGAACGGAGATGGGAGTACTGTGTGAATTTGTCCTTTCCTTAATTTATTTTAATTTTGTAGCCCTAGTAGTCTAATACTTAAGTACTTAAAAAAGAGAGATAATATTGAGAATTTTATTTTAGCGTCCTTTAGTCTAGTAAGGTGTGATTCGTCTGATTGCACAGGAATTTTGTAGCGAATATTGGCGATAATGAAATCATAGCGTCTAGTTAAGATAGTTATGATAGTTATGATACACCTAGTTACCATAGTTACACGACAATGTTACGACAACAGGGTGTTGTAAAACTGTTTTAATTTGGAACTGCTTGATTAAATTATGGCGTCTTATGGTTACATAGAGGACATATTTTACACTACTTTGGTACTGATATCACTTTGAAAGGACTTTAACGAGATATGTCGTCACTATGACGTCACTGTGACTTTGAAAGGAAGACTGATGTGATCACCTTAGTCACTGATGACTGTGCCCGTCGTTCAAGCCAGGGTCTAATAACTTATTTAAGTTATTTATAACGGACACTCAGATAAGAGCAAGTGGTGCTCCGAAAAGGGAATGTAGAGAATGTAGAGAAAAGACGTTCGGTAAAATTTTTCGGAAAATTTCTTTCATGAATTAATTCTGGCAATGAGAAATGGAAATTCTAACGAGATTTCTTTCTGGCAATTTGAAGTTAAGGGGGTGTCCAGCGTGGCTCACAGTTACAGGGTTGAAACTAGAAATTTATAAATGAGAAATGATAGTCACAGCAAGTTTTAACGTAAAGTGTGCAAATCACAGTGCAAGAAAACAAAATTGCGGACGAGAAAAATACACACACAACGTATGATACTATCACATCCAATACTATCAGGATAACAAGGAAACTAATTTCCCTCCCTTCAAAGAAGTGTGCTTATCCGTAGAACGACTGGTCGAAACTTGAAAACTAGATTGGCCTTTATAACATGTCCACCAGGTAACCAGGTAACCAGGTAACCAGGTAACCAGGTAACCAGGTAACTAGGTAACCAGGTAACCAAGTAACCAGGTAACCAGGTAACCAGGTAACCATGTAACCAGGTAACCAGGTAACTAGGTAACCAGGTAACCAAGTAACCAGGTAACCATGTAACCAGGTAACCATGTAACAAGGTAACCAGGTAAACAGGTAAACAGGTGACCAGGTAAACAGGTGACCAGGTAACCAGGTAACCAGGTAACCAGGTAACCAGGTAACCAGGTAACCAGGTAACCAGGTAACCAGGTAACCAGGTAACCAGGTAACCAGGTAACCAGGTAACCAGGTAACCAGGTAACCAGGTAGATTGGCCTTTATAACATGTCCACGGATCTTGCAGCAGAGGCGTGTTTCATGTTTGAGATGTTAGTAACAAGCTAGTTCAAAGTTTACATACGTGATTGCTTGTGAAGATGTATATCCAGTTTCAAGGTTCCACCTAAGTTTCTACCAGTCTCTCAACCGATCAGTACACATTTAGTGAAAGATATCAACAAACAAAGTAAGACATGTGGACGGGTACGTAAATGGTCGATTTAATAAAAAATGTCATATTGTTCAATAACAATCTAAATATAAATCAATCAAACCGTGTATTTATACACAACATGTAGTACTTTATAAAGAACTACATGTTTTAGCGACCAACTGAACAATTTTTTGGCATGTAAGTTAAGCTGCCCTTTACGAATACTGCCCTCTGGGGTCTGGCAAATACTGACGTAATGGGGACGTAAATAGAACGCCCGCTTAAACACTTACTAAATTCCTTATTAAATGAACAACTTACCCTTTCCCGAATAATGGCCAGTATCGTGTCTTTAAACCCCATGGTAGCAAGATATAGCAAGATATAGCAAGATATAGCAAGATATAGCAAGATATAGCAAGATATAGCAAGATATAGCAAGATATATCAAGATATAGCAAGATATAGCAAGATATAGCCAGATATAGCAAGATATAGCAAAGTCGTTTTGAATAGCAGATATCAGACGTACAAAAGACACGCTATACTAAGCACTATTAAACCCTAATACCTGTACTACAACGTACACTTTAAGTGGGGATTGTGTTCTATAGTAACCCGGTGCATGGTATCTATGGTAACTAGTAGTGTAACTATGGTAACTAGTAGTGTAACTAGTAGTGTAACTATGGTAACTAGTAGTGTAACTATGGTAACTAGTAGTGTAACTATGGTAACTAGTAGTGTAACTATGGTAACTAGTAGTGTAACTATGGTAACTAGTAGTGTAACTATGGTAACTAGTAGTGTTACTATGGTAACTAGTAGTGTAACTATGGTAACTAGTAGTGTAACTATGGTAACTAGTAGTGTTACTATGGTAACTAGTAGTGTAACTATGGTAACTAGTAGTGTTACTATGGTAACTAGTAGTGTTACTATGGTAACTAGTAGTGTTACTATGGTAACTAGTAGTGTTACTATGGTAACTAGTAGTGTAACTATGGTAACTAGTAGTGTAACTATGGTAACTAGTAGTGTTACTATGGTAACTAGTAGTGTTACTATGGTAACTAGTAGTGTTACTATGGTAACTAGTAGTGTAACTATGGTAACTAGTAGTGTAACTATGGTAACTAGTAGTGTTACTATGGTAACTAGTAGTGTTACTATGGTAACTAGTAGTGTTACTATGGTAACTAGTAGTGTTACTATGGTAACTAGTAGTGTTACTATAGTAACTAGTAGTGTTACTATAGTAACCCGGTGCTTGGTATCTAATTAATCCATTATAGCTGCATCGTGATTATCACCAAATTATGTCGTCACTTGGTGACGATATCAATGAAAATAATATATGAAACTTTAATTAATAACAATAATTATTTCTTATTAACAAGTAAGGATTTACGTACTTACAACGTACAATGTACTTACAACGTACAATGTACTTACAACGTACAATGTACTCACAACATACTTAAAACGTACAATGTACTTACAACGTACAATGTACTTACAACGTACTTACATTGTATGCAGTTATCTGTAGTTTTATCTTCTCTATCACATCACTGCTTGCTTCTTTTTCCAACACTTCCTGTAACGTGTGGTATGATCAATAGAGTGATGCAGCAAAATAGATTAGTTACATTGTTTCATGGTTTCGCGAATGACGATAATTGCATATTTTTATATCCTATCGTCGAATTTCATCACTGTGATTTCATAGCCAGCATTTGTTTTATGGTTCGAACTGAATTAACAATTTCCAGAAAAAAACTACGCCACTATTTTAAATTACTAAGTGAATTGCGTCAAGCCTGTAATGATATCATATACTTCATTATACCAGGTTATTCGTGGTGGTAACTAGTAGTAACCATGGTAACTAGTAGTAACCATGGTAACTAGTGGTAACTGATGACGATGTGTAAATTTTAAAGCCACCCAGTAAAGCAAGAACTCAACACAAAAAAAAGAGATGTCGGGATTTAACAAGAGAACTATCAACTAAGTTTTAAACAACAGTACATTATTTGAAACAGGAATGGAGACATCTATAGTTTTACCAGCCTCAGGCTAAGGCTAAGTAAGGGATGTTGAAAACCTGATCGAAACAAAAGAAAAGCACATAAAACAAGTAGATAATAACGGTAGATGATAAGTTGAGATCGGAGCTGGGCACTAACTGTACAACTACAGCACTTCTGATGTTCGAACAAAGGAAAGTGGCAGGCTCCGCAGTAAGTAAAAGCGTGGAAGAGAGTCTCTCTCTCTCTGTAGAAGGTGATTTAATACACGATTATTTCGCGGTAAGGTGCAACAAAAAGTAGGGCGTTACACGTTATGCCAGTTGCACACCTTCTATTTTAAAACTACGATTATTGAGTTGAAGTGAGGTCATGACGCGATACAATACTGCGGTGTTCCTGCGAAAGATACAAAAGTTGATTCCACAAACTTTAAAATTGGTTTGAAGCGTACTGCGAAACCTGGACGTATGTGCTACTGGAAAACGAATTGAAAGTTGGTAATGAATATTAACAGAAGGCAACGTTACCATGGCAACATTTCACGTAAAACGTATCGTTGGTATGCACGAGTAGCAAAATTAACCACAGAAAAATTGTCAAAAATAGAAAGGGACTAATTAACGACGAGTAATTATTTTCAGCCACAAATTCTAGTAACCATGGTAACTAGTAGTGTAACCATGGTAACTAGTAGTAATTCTACAGGAATAACCGTGATTTTAGCTGTGCAATGGGTACGGAGCAATAATATGTTAATAACATGACCTATACTATTGAAATAGCACTGAACTAGAGTTGAAACCACCATATAAAGTCAAAGATACAACTGTCGAATGTTTCTCTACACTTGAAATTGAGCAAGGCAGCATGATGTGTCTAATTAATAATTATCGCCGCACTAAAGTTTTTGCAAGCAGTCTGCATTTTAGTTCAATTATCGTGACATGTGCAGTGGAACAGGTTTATACTTTATTATTAAGTTGGCAACAATAAAAAAGAAGCAGAACTGCGACGATCTGACCAGCTGATATGACAGTGCTGTTAAGTTACTCGAGTAAGCATGTACCGTTACGTTAGGGTCACTCTCTAATTTAACAGAGAACTGGATCTTGCGGACAAGGTGAACTGGATTGTAAGACCCCGGAAACCGGTTTATCAAGAAGGTGGCAGCCGACGTTTGGACATTTAGCAAGATTAGTAAAGTAATCTAGCCTAACTTACGACTAAGGTTTAGGGTGTTCATATGTTGTGGTTACTGAAGTCAATCTAACGTCATTGACAAGTTTGTTAAAAATAGCGCGCCTTGAAAACCTTGAGAAAATGAGTAGGATACGTTTATTTATCCTGAGTAAATGAAATGCACTGATGGAAACTTTCATCAAGTCTAAAAACGCATTTTCTGACGACGTGGGGCGTTTAATCCGAAATAAATTGAATCAAGCAAATTCCAGAAAAAAGTCGATTCAACTATCAAGTACATACGATACTGTAAGGTTACTATGGTAACTAGTAGTGTAACTATGGTAACTAGCAGTAAGATTCAACTATCAAGTACATACGATACTGTAAAGTTACTATGGTAACTAGTAGTGTAACTATGGTAACTAGTAGTGTAACTATGGTAACTAGTAGTAAGATTTAACTATCAAGTACATACGATACTGTAAAGTTACTATGGTAACTAGTAGTGTAACTATGGTAACTAGTAGTGTAACTATGGTAACTAGTAGTAAGATTTAACTATCAAGTACATACGATACTGTAAAGTTACTATGGTAACTAGTAGTGTAACTATGGTAACTAGTAGTGTAACTATGGTAACTAGTAGTAAGATTTAACTATCAAGTACATACGATACTGTAAAGTTACTATGGTAACTAGTAGTGTAACTATGGTAACTAGTAGTGTAACTATGGTAACTAGTAGTAAGATTTAACTATCAAGTACATACGATACTGTAAAGTTACTATGGTAACTAGTAGTGTAACTATGGTAACTAGTAGTGTAACTATAATAACTAGCAGTAAGATTCAACTATCAAGTACATACGATACTGTAAAGCCTGGTCTGTGAATAAATTAAACTTTAAAATATTACGATTCGTTTTAGCACTTAACATACGTAACTTCATTGAGTCCAGATGCTGTTGTCATGACAACAGATGCTGTTGTCATGACAACAGATGGAACGTCATGACAACAGATGCTGTTGTCATGACAACAGATGCTGTTGTCATGACAACAGATGGAACGTCATGACAACAGATGCTGTTGTCATGACAACAGATGGAACGTCATGACAACAGATGCTGTTGTCATGACAACAGATGGAACGTCATGACAACAGATGCTGTTGTAATGACAACAGATGGAACGTCTAACATACCAGTAACAACCTTAAACACCTGCCATGTTACATGGACTGTACAACATGCCAAGATTGGAATATTTCAGCACGCATCCCATAATACAGTTATTAAATGAACTACTCACCCTTTTCCGAATAACTGTTCGTATTAACTCCCTAAATCCCATAAATAAATAAGAACCGGCTCGCACAAACAATAGACTACACGCTGTGAGTGGAATAACCATGGACGAGTGTGACACAAAGGGGGGGACAGTGGACAACCCACCAATCAAACAAGGTTCAGGATATCACGTGACCTAGTTAAGCTCACGTGACTGAAAAGAAGAAGCCTTCACGGGTACATTACACAGGGGACCAAATCAAATAGCGGGCCCTGCTCCTACACTAGCGACCTCATTAACGCTAGATTCTGTTTTGATAAGGTTAAATGACGAAACCATGTAGAGTCGGATTGGTTTACCCCAGGGGTGAAGGGTGGTCTCCAGGGACAGGACACTTAGCGAGCATTCAGAGGTGGATTAACCCATTTTGTATTATAATTTGCTGAAGCATAATAGGCGACAAACCAAATTTTAACCCACAGATGAATTGACACTTGTTGCCTGAAATGAGGTAAGATAATAGCTGCTGATCACAAGGCGTGAAATAAACGATACATCGCCTGAATAGCTTTCAATCTCCTTATATGTGCATCACGTGATCAAATCGACATTCAGCGACAAAAGGAGCATACAACTGAACACAATGGAGACGCACCATTCGGCGTTTATCAGATATTAACACCGTCCTAGGAGTCCAGAAAGTAGCTCATCAGGCTAATGAGATTTGTGAATAGTATCACTTATCAGGTGATATAGTGAGCCGTGTCACGTGACAGAAGAAGCTGTGAGATCAGCTTGAATAATATCGTTCATATAATATATCAATGTAAGCCTGATTAATTGATTGCTGCGACTGTCGACACAAGCAGGGGTTCCTTATTAAGCGAGCGCCGCGCGGTTCACATATTTTGCATGAATAGTTACCATGGTTACACTACTAGTTACCATGGTAATAACCGTGTATTTTGCATGTGTACCACGAATAATATAATCGGCGCTCATAGTAATGAATATAAAACGGCAATCTGCTTGTGCGAATTGAAAGAGAGCGTCCTCAGACACTGATTAAATGTCCAGATGTAAACGCACAGCTGACCGTAAAGTAACATACTTATTAAACAAATTTCTACGTAAAGTAAGACAAGTGATGAATTGTGCGAGGAATTTAATGATATCTTTTAATTGGAGGTAAAACGCTTTATATATATTCATAATTTCACCAACCTTGTTCAAAGTTTCAATACCCTGCGCCTCAAGTGCGTCAGTGATATCGTAAAATATATCCTGAGACTCCACATTGCACAGCACCTGGGTAAAATCATATATTAAGGAGTATTTTCGACATTATAATCTCTGAATATGTAATAGGAATTATTATTATTAACTTAAGGAGGTCAACAAAAAAATTGCGTCCATCATTTTGAAAGGTAAGAGTGATTTGATGGCTTCGGTACCAATTAGCCGAAAAGATAACCAGCCAAATTTCCTGGATGAACACAAACAAACATTATACCATGAATAATGAATATGATCATAATGATATCATAACAATACTTTGGTTGTACGCGCTAACTAAATCTTTGATTAATTGTTATTGTGTTAGCAGTACTGTGAGTGATTGTATAAGATGAGAATGAGTGTATTGATACTACTCCTGATGTTACTCGTAGCAGTGAGTAGTAAACCCCTCCGCAAGCAGCCAGTTAGTGAGGAACAACTCACTAAACCTCTCTCGGTGCTGTACCCAGTGGAGGAAGTACAACCAGCAGAGAGATTCAGGGTTCGTTTTCGATTGTTGCTAGGGCAGGTTTTTAAAAAATGTCTAAGTCAGAATTACTAGCTGTATTTTGTATAACGAAGTTGTAAGTCGCACGCCAATAAGGCTTCAACAGAACTTGGAATTGAGCCAAAAATAAAAAGCTTACAACCAGCCGTGACACGTCCAATTCCGCAGAAGCTAGGACGAAACGAGAACAGAGTTAACGAGCAGAGAAATGTAACGAAGGTGAGAGTGAGGGGTGAGGAGCAAGATCTGGTTGACACCTTAGTAACACTTAGTAACCCCTAGTAACACCTAGTAACACTTAGTAACACTTAGTAACACCTAGTAACCCCTAGTAACACCTAGTAACACCCTGACCTCAGGTGAGAGTGAGGGGTGAGGAGCAAGATCTGGTTGAAGGGGACATGATCGCTCCGAGGATACAGCGACTCATACAGAGAGACGGTAAACCTGTGCTACAGAAGGGCTCCACTACCGGACTCTGGCCTGATGGTGGGTATAGTGATGAGATCAAGTCTTAGATCGCTCCGTTAGTGCGAATAAGTAGAATAAAATTCATTTCTCCGACTAAATCCTTGCCGGTCAATCCCAATTATTTCTGTTTGGTAAAAATTCCCAAGGTTCTATTTGCCCAGGTCGCATCCCATATACATTTGGTTCTGGTATCACCGGATACAAGAAGGACGTTATCCAGCAAGCAATGGAGCACTGGTCGAGTCAGACTTGTTTAAAGTTTGAGAAGAAAGCCGCTGACGACGAAGATTATGTCCAGTTCTTCAGCGGAGGGGGGTGCTACTCAGATCTTGGTAAGTGGTGTGTTATAAACTTCTTTATGTCAGCGGAGGGGGGTGCTACTCAGATCTTGGTAAGTGGTGTGTTAAACTTCTTTATGTCAGCGGAGGGGGGTGCTACTCAGATCTTGGTAAGTGGTGTGTTATAAACTTCTTTATGTCAGCGGAGGGGGGTGCTACTCAGATCTTGGTAAGTGGTGTTTTATAAACTTCTTTATGTCAGCGGAGGGGGGTGCTACTCAGATCTTGGTAAGTGGTGTGTTATAAACTTCTTTATGACAGCGGAGGGGGGTGCTACTCAGATCTTGGTAAGTGGTGTGTTATAAACTTCTTTATGTCAGCGGAGGGGGGTGCTACTCAGATCTTGGTAAGTGGTGTGTTATAAACTTCTTTATGTCAGCGGAGGGGGGTGCTACTCAGATCTTGGTAAGTGGTGTGTTATAAACTTCTTTATGTCAGCGGAGGGGGGTGCTACTCAGATCTTGGTAAGTGGTGTGTTATAAACTTCTTTATGTCAGCGGAGGGGGGTGCTACTCAGATCTTGGTAAGTGGTGTGTTATAAACTTCTTTATGTCAGCGGAGGGGGGTGCTACTCAGATCTTGGTAAGTGGTGTGTTATAAACTTCTTTATGTCAGCGGAGGGGGGTGCTACTCAGATCTTGGTAAGTGGTGTGTTATAAACTTCTTTATGTCAGCGGAGGGGGGTGCTACTCAGATCTTGGTAAGTGGTGTGTTATAAACTTCTTTATGTCAGCGGAGGGGGGTGCTACTCAGATCTTGGTAAGTGGTGTGTTATAAACTTCTTTATGTCAGCGGAGGGGGTGCTACTCAGATCTTGGTAAGTGGTGTGTTATAAACTTCTTTATGTCAGCGGAGGGGGGTGCTACTCAGATCTTGGTAAGTGGTGTGTTATAAACTTCTTTATGTCAGCGGAGGGGGGTGCTACTCAGATCTTGGTAAGTGGTGTGTTATAAACTTCTTTATGTCAGCGGAGGGGGGTGCTACTCAGATCTTGGTAAGTGGTGTGTTATAAACTTCTTTATGTCAGCGGAGGGGGGTGCTACTCAGATCTTGGTAAGTGGTGTGTTATAAACTTCTTTATGTCAGCGGAGGGGGGTGCTACTCAGATCTTGGTAAGTGGTGTGTTATAAACTTCTTTATGTCAGCGGAGGGGGGTGCTACTCAGATCTTGGTAAGTGGTGTGTTATAAACTTCTTTATGTCAGCGGAGGGGGTGCTACTCAGATCTTGGTAAGTGGTGTGTTATAAACTTCTTTATGTCAGCGGAGGGGGTGCTACTCAGATCTTGGTAAGTGGTGTGTTATAAACTTCTTTATGACAGCGGAGGGGGGTGCTACTCAGATCTTGGTAAGTGGTGTGTTATAAACTTCTTTATGTCAGCGGAGGGGGGTGCTACTCAGATCTTGGTAAGTGGTGTGTTATAAACTTCTTTATGACAGCGGAGGGGGGTGCTACTCAGATCTTGGTAAGTGGTGTGTTATAAACTTCTTTATGTCAGCGGAGGGGGGTGCTACTCAGATCTTGGTAAGTGGTGTGTTATAAACTTCTTTATGTCAGCGGAGGGGGGTGCTACTCAGATCTTGGTAAGTGGTGTGTTATAAACTTCTTTATGTCAGCGGAGGGGGGTGCTACTCAGATCTTGGTAAGTGGTGTGTTATAAACTTCTTTATGTCAGCGGAGGGGGGTGCTACTCAGATCTTGGTAAGTGGTGTGTTATAAACTTCTTTATGTCAGCGGAGGGGGGTGCTACTCAGATCTTGGTAAGTGGTGTGTTATAAACTTCTTTATGTCAGCGGAGGGGGGTGCTACTCAGATCTTGGTAAGTGGTGTGTTATAAACTTCTTTATGTCAGCGGAGGGGGGGTGCTACTCAGATCTTGGTAAGTGGTGTGTTATAAACTTCTTTATGTCAGCGGAGGGGGGTGCTACTCAGATCTTGGTAAGTGGTGTGTTATAAACTTCTTTATGTCAGCGGAGGGGGGTGCTACTCAGATCTTGGTAAGTGGTGTGTTATAAACTTCTTTATGACAGCGGAGGGGGGTGCTACTCAGATCTTGGTAAGTGGTGTGTTATAAACTTCTTTATGTCAGCGGAGGGGGGTGCTACTCAGATCTTGGTAAGTGGTGTTTTATAAACTTCTTTATGTCAGCGGAGCTGAGGGGGGGTGCTACTCCTTTATAAACTTCTTTATGACCGTCGCGTGTGATCCCTGATAGTCTGAGCTCGGCCTTATCTCAGAGTCCATGTAATAAAAGCGACATTTTGTTTTAAGTTATTGCAGAACTCTGAGATATTTTATTACATGTAATAAAATCGACATTTTGTTTTTAGTCATTGCAGAAAATGTAAATGTAAAACTGTATACTCTCATAAGGTGTGTACGGAGGGAAACAGCTAATATCTATTGGACCCCAGTGTGTCAGACTAGGAGTTATTGTGCACGAGATTGGGCACGCAATAGGGTTCTACCACGAGCAATCCCGTCCAGACAGAGATAACTACGTGATGATAAAACTACAAAACACAAGACCAGGAACAGCAGACAACTTTGCAAAGTACAGCAGGGATTACATTGACATGAGAGGGGTTCCTTACGATTATGGGAGTATCATGCACTATAGAGCTAAAGCTTTCAGTGTAAACGGGGGAGAGACAGTGGTGCCGATAGTGGAGAAGGGAGAGAAAGTGCCACAAATTGGGCAACGGATCAAGTTAAGTGCTCAAGACGTACAGTTGGCTAAAACTATGTACAACTGTGGAGTGGTTCCCAAGACACCTCCAACACCTTCAGCAGACGAACAGTCTTGCGTGGACATGTCTCCTTTGTGCAGTGATTGGGCCGCTGTTGGGCTCTGTACTTCTGGTAATTTCGTGGTTTTTATGTTGAAGAACTGTCAGATATCATGCGGTGTTTGTTCGGTAAAGTTTGTCAGGAGTCAAGAGATGATGAGTAGCGCAAAATTAGCGCAAAGTAAGGTCGGGGACACATTCGTAGAGCTGACAATAGAAATTGTTGACAAAAGAGAAGCACAGCTGCAGATTTTCCACAGGGAATTGGGAGCCGGTAATTGGAGCTTTGGAGCTATGGAATGAGACGAAAGTTCTTTAAAAACGATCCAATATATGCAGTGTACAACCTACAGCCTGAAACCGAGTATGAGTTTGTCGTGAGATATTCAGTTGAGCGTGGCATGTGGTCTGAGTTTTCGGAGGTACTGGATTTGACTACGACGACCAAAGAGGATCAGGACCAAGCGTGAACAGTGAACACTCAAGGGTAAACATCGGGCACAAATGACTGGTATTTTAAAACGCGCTGTGAGCAGGGCATAGCCATCAGAATTAGGACGAACTGGTGCCATCAAGGTCGTTGCTCGCCATAACAACAAACCACATGTTTACGTCAATTGATCCTGTCAACTTAACATTAGTTCCTGGCTTATTTCTACAAATCATTAGTAAGAACGTAGGTGAAATTATTAGCAATTTGATTGAGGCGCGTTACATTAAGCTCCAAACTACGCCGCGCACTCGATATAACCCCACGTGGAAAACTTCAGTGGGATACAATCTAACCACAAAGTTGCTGATTAGTGAATACCTTACACCGCAAAGTTTGGAAATCATTAGATTGAGGAATGAAACTACGACTGTTCTAAAACCAAGACTGAAAAGACACACTTTTGTACCTGTTATTATTATATTATGTTAATTGAA